CTGAATTTTCTTCCCATTTAGAAAATAGTTCATGCTTTTATTCTTCTTACCAAACTGCATGACTTCACACTTTCCCACATTGTACTCCATATGCCACTTCTTTGCCCACACTCCTAACCTGTCCAAATCCTTTTGCAGCCTCCCCACCTCCTCAATCCTACCTGTCCCTCTACCTATCTTTGTAATGTCTGCAAACTTAGTCAGAATACCCTCAGTTCCTTCACCTAGATCATTAATGTATAAAGTGAAAAGTTGTGGTCCCAACACTGAGTCTTGTGTAACACCACTTGTCACCAGTCTTCAGAAAAGGGAGCATCTGGGAAGGAAATAGATATTAAAGCTGTATTGATAGTAAAAAGAGAACACAGTTCCTAAGAAAGTACTAAACAGGGAGAGATGGCTTAGGACAATCATGAAAATTAATCTTCAAATATTGACAAGAAGAATCATAGAGTTTCTGAACAGTTTATCTCAAAGCGGGAGGTATTTCTTTGAATCATGGAAGTAAACCGATAAGGATTTGAAGAGACACTGGAGCAATTCAGTCACTGGACTGATAATACTATTTGTCTTCCAGAGGGATTAATGAAGCATAAAACATTAATTGGAGGTATTCATGGAGATTACAAACCAATTGCATTATACTGAGGAAAGAGTGACTTGGCAAATGCATAGGTCAGAGTGGGAGTGATGAGGCAAATTCAAATAGATTTATTTAAATTTTGGAAGTGGCCTGGCAGGTTTAGGAAGATTGGCTGCAGCAAGGGTGGTGGAACATCCACTGGAGTTAAAAGAAGTTAAAATATTACCGGAGGTTTTCTGACCTTGTTATGACTGGATCTCCGGTCCACAGAATTAGACAGGAAGAAAAGCAATAAATGAAACAGAGATACTTTGGAAATTCAGTTAATCGGATTCAATTTTCAAAAAGTAACTGAAAAGGATTGAAGATAAAGAAATGAGGCTGACTTGTTTAGCATATCTTCTTTAATAGAAATTCCACAAATGGATTTGATGAGAATTAGGCAGTGGTGCAATAAGTGGTAGTTCCTTCTGAGTATCACAATAACATTTTATGAATCAAAGAATCCCTACAGAGTGGAAGCAGGCCCTTCAGCCCATCAAGTCCACACCAACCCTCCGAAGAGCATCCTACCCACACTCACCCCATAACCCTACGTTCCCCATGGTTAATCCGCCTAGCCTGTGCATCCCTAGACACTACAGGCAATTTAGCATGGCCAATCCACCTAACCTGCACATCTTTGGACTGTGGGAGGAAACCGGAGCACCCGGAGGAAACCCACACAGACAGGGGGAGAATGTGCACTGTGAAGCAACCGTGCTAACCACTGTTCCACAGTGCCACCCCACTGAGTGACTTATAAAATTCCAAAGGCAGTTTTAGGTACTAGGAAAATACAAGTTAAAATATTGAAATATTTTATATTGGCTAGGATTACATAAAGACATCATCAAGTTCTGCCAAACATGCCATCCAAGTCAAATAGTGGAAAAACCTCAACCCTCAATTAAAACGGCACATTGAATTCTGATACCAGCTTTTGAAGATCTGTTCAACAGGGTTTTACGTGATTGTGTAGAATGCTGACAGAGGAACAGGAATTGGAATCAGTATCTTTAATGTTTTTGGAAGTTTCCATAAGATTTCCTGAATCATTACCTTTAGGAAAAATTGCAGCAAAGTGGTATTGGTAAAAGTTGGTTCAACTTTTTACAAGATATGGTAATATGATATTTGCCTAAATATACACAGTCAGATCAAGTTTCAAATTTTACGTCTCAAATATTCAAATAAATGATGATCAATTTGGAAATAAAATTATTTACATATTCTGCTCATCACACACCGTCTCTAGATATTGGAAAGATGGCATCAAACTTTGAAGATCATGATTAAAGCTTATTGTCAAGAATGTCCTAATGAGTGGGATAAAGAAATTTCTTTGTTACTGTTTGCCATTAGGGATGTTCCTAATGAGACCCAAAGGATTTAGTCCTTTTGAACTAATATATGTATATGAGGTGAGAAGACCACTTAAATTGATTAAAGAAAATTTGATAAACTGAAGCTCAAAGACTATGCTTCCAGCCTCTGTTTTGAATTTCAAAAAGAAACTGACCAAAACATGTGAGCTGCCAAAAAGCATTTGAAGGGGGCTCAACAAGCAATGAAAGTTAAAAAGGCTAAAGTTCGAAACTTTGTTGCTAGAGACAAGGTGTTAGTGTTGTTACCTGTCTCGAGGGATCATTAAACACAACGTTCAATGAATGTTAGTCAATCCTAAAGAAACTCAATGATGTGAATAATGTAGTGAGTGGACAGAGGAAAGAATCAGCTAACGGGGCATGTTAGAAATGTTAGCTGTTATGACATGAATGATGGTTAGGGAAACTGTACTGCAAGAGTGAAAGAAGTAGACGGTGAAATGGAACTATCAGAACAAGTGGATAATACAACAGAAATCGAAAAAAGGTTGACCCTGCAACAATCAGATTGGATAATATGAGCATGGTTAAAAGGTTAGATAGCATGGCGAATGGCATGTTGACCCTTACTTCAAAGGAGTTGAAGTATAAGAGTAGAGAAGTCTTACTGCAACTGTACGAGGCACTGGTGAGACCAGATCTGGAACACCCTGACCAGTTTTAGTCTCCCTGTTTAAGGAAATACTTCATTTCATTGGAGGCTGTTCAAGAAAGCTTCATTAGAATGATCTCTAGTATGGAGGGATTGTCTTACAAACAAAGGCTTAAACAGGTTGGGATTCTACCCACTGGAGTTTAGATGAATGAGAGATGATCTCATTGAAACATATCAGATTCTTAAGGGGCCTGACAGGTATGCTGAGAGGATGTTTCCCACCATGGGAGACTCTGGGACCAGAGGATACCAATTTAAGACTGAAATGAGGAGGAATTTCTTCTCTCAGTGGGTTGTGTCTTTGGAACTCCTTTCCACAGAAAGCTGCAGGGGCAGAGTCATTGTGTATATTTAAGCCTGAAATAGATATTTTATTAGTAGGTGAATCAAGGGTTATTGGGAAAAGGCAGCAAGTGGACATGAGGAATGTCAGATCAGCCATGATCCTATGGAATGGTAGAACAGGCTCAAGGGACTGAACAACCTAGATCTGTTCCTTTTTTTCAAATTCATTGTGGGATATGGACACTGCTGACTGGCCAGCATTTATTGCCCATCCCTAGTTGCCCTTGAGAAGCTGTTTTCTTTAACCCGTGCAGCCCACCTGCTGTGGGTTGACCCACAGTGTCATTAGAAAGGGAATTCCAGGATTTTGACCCAGCAACAGTGAAGGAACAGTGGTATATTTCCAAGTCAGGATTGGGAGTGGCTTGGAAGGGAACTTGCAGGTGTTCCCATGTATCTGCCGCCCCTGTCCTTCTAAATGGACCATTTCTTAAAGGCTTATCATCTACAGCATCATGTTTTATCTTCCAGAAGCCTTTCAAAGTGACTTATGAGGGCTATTACAGAATTGTAAATCAATTTGTGGGAATGGCGAATTTGGCATTTCATGGCATTAGTGTGGAAATACATTACCTACAAACCAACACCTCATAGACTCAATGCAGAGAGATTATTTTAATTGAGTGAATAGACTGAGTTCAGGATAGATGATGATAATATAGAACTGAGTTGAAATACCTGTAGTGATGATGCCGAAACCAGATGGATCACAGAATTCTGCGTTGATTATTGCAAAATCGACGTGGTAACAAAAGCAGACTCATATCCTATTCTGAAATTGGAGAATTACATTTGAATGAATTGGATACAGATGGTTTGCTTCCTTCTGCTCCTAATTTATAAGTTCACATCCTTAATGGTAGGGGAGCCCTGCATATCAGATCAAAAGGCAAGCTTCAAGAATTTGCAACCATCTTCAACCAGAAGTACCAAGAGTATGAGGATTGGCTAGCAAGTCACTTTACTGCTGTAGTCAAGCTTCTGTATCCAGGAACATGCATGAAAATCCTGCTATTGACCTCCTTTGCCTGGTCAACGAACCCTGCTTGTTTTTGGAGACATGTTTCTTCTGCCCATCCACAGGGAACTGAATTTGGCTTTTGGTCCTTACGGTTGATACTGTAGGTCCAATGATGTATCAATGAAGCATAGTGCTGTCTAGTTATGTTATGCTTCCCTTTCCCTGATTTCTAGCTAAATCTGAAGATTTACCATGCCTAAATTCTGATCCTCGTATGATTTCTTCAAACAATTGTGCTATCATAAATTGCTGCAGGTCATCATTATGCTCGACTCCTGCAATTGGTCAGAAAGCCCAGAAGTTGGATCTAGTTGCAGTGGCTGAATGAAAAAGCCAATGAGGTAGTATTACTGAAGTTCCAGGATTCCTAATAATCTGCCGTATTCCCAAAATGTAAACTAACTTTTATACTGTGAAGTTACCTCTTTAACCTTTAGGACACAGACCACTAAATCCCAGTTTTAGTGTAATTAGTCATTAATTTTTGATTTATTAAGCTTTTCCTAGTTTATCAATATTCATTATGAAGTTTGCCTTCATTCTTAGTATAAATAATTTGTAAAAAGTATCAGATTGTGGGAAATCTTGTCTTCTGCAATGTGACCGGTGGAAACTGAATTCAGACTGCTCAAACACAGAGAAATTGTTTAACTAGAAGGCCTTCACCTTGTCAGTCTGAGTTAGGTTTTAAGATAACACAGTGTAGACCTGGATGAACACAACAGGCCAAGCAGCATCAGAGGAGCAGGAAAGCTGAACAAGGGTCTCGACCCGAAACGTCAGCTTTCCTGCTGCTCTGATGCTGCTTGGCCTGCTGTGTTCATCCAGCTCTACACCTTGTTATCTCAGATTCTCCAGCATCAGCAGTTCCTATTATCTCTGAGTTAGGTTTTAACCCAGTTTTCAAGTTAAAAGAGGCAAATGTCCAACTCACTGTGTTCATCTATAAATTTTACCTTTTTCTTTCAGATTACAGATGAAGCCAATTCTGTCGCAACTTGTGAGAGAAATAAGGATGAAACAACATCAGGATACATCACTAAGTTTCAACTGACACTCTGGGGAACCTACAAGATTGAGCTCCCCAAAAGGGAAGAAAGTATGTGAATCTTACACAATATTAGAGAGATAACAAGGCAGCGTTTTCATGCAGGATTTGAATGCTAAAAACAAAAGGTCCTAGGGATTGAATCAGATTTGCACATTAGATGTGTATGTGTATATAGTGATGCCTAGTTCTAGAGTCTTCCATAAGAGGAGGCATCATCTCCACGTCTACTCTGGCATGACCCCTCAGGATTTTATGTTTTAATCAAGTCATGTTTACTTTTCTAAACTCCAGCAGAACAAGCCTAAGCTGTCCAACTTTCCACATTGGACAACCCACCTCATTCGAGGTATAAGACGTGTAAACATTCTTTGAACTGCCCCCAACACAGTTACATCCTTCCTTAAAAATGCAGTCTCACCAATGTCCTGGATGAGTGAAGCGCTATCTCTCTACTTTTGCCTTCAATTTACCTTGTAATGATAGTATTTCATTAGTTTTCCTAATTTTTTGCTGTATCTACATGTTTACCTTTTATAAATTATTCACCAGGGCACCCAGGATCTTCTGCATCATGGAGCTCTGCGATATATCACCATTTCTAAATATGTTTTTTTTTATTTTTCCCGCTAAAATAGACAGTTTCACAAGATCCCACATTATACTCCATTAACCACATCTTTGTCCACTCGTTTTAGCTATATCATTACATCTTGTCAACCCATTTACAACTACTCTCTGCTTTCTGTTAGCTATCCAATCTACTGTCCATGCCAATATGCTTGTCCCTATACCATAAGCTTTTATTTTTTGTAATAACCTTTGATGTTGAACCTTAACAAATTCCTTCTAGAAATCTGAAGTATAAAACATCCACCAGTTCTCCCTTATCCATAACACACGTTACCTCCTCAAAGAACTTCGAGAGATTGGTCAGACACAGTATCGTAAAACCATGCTGACTCTATTTGATTGCCTTGAACTCATCCGAATGACCTGTTATAATGTTTTTAATGATAACTTCTAACATTAAGCTGATTGACCTGGAGTTTCCTGCTTTCTGTCTCCCTTTTTGAATAAATCAGATATTTTGTTATTTTCCAATCTAATAGAATTGCTCCCAAATCAAGATACTTTTGTAAAATTAAAGCTAATGCATTATCTTTCTCACCCGCCACTTCTTACAAGATCCTGGAAAGAATCGATCAGGACCTGGGAACCTGTCTGCCTACAGTTCCAGTAATTTACTCAGTTCCAATTTTCTGGTGATTTTAACTTTCTTGCATTTTACCCACTCTTCCATTTCCTTGTTTTCCATTATTAGTTCTCTAGTTTCACTTTCTATTGACCCAGTACTCACTTTATTATCTCTTTTCTTCATTAAAAATTGATACAAATTCTCACTATCTATTTTTATATGTTTAGCTAGCCTCCTCTCGTAATCTAATGTTGCCCTCTTCATTAACTTTTTGGTCATTCTTTATTTTTTAATATTCTGTCCAGTCTTTTGTCTTCTCCACTGAAGTTGGACCATTATATGCTTTTTCTTTAAGTTTGATATTCTGTTTATCATTTTAGAATTATTTTATTATTATTATAAATAACTGTCTCTCTTTGGCCTAATCTGCCAATTCACTTTAGTCAGCTAAGTTTTCATGCTCTCACAACTGCTCTTATCTAAATTTTAAAAAATTCACTCCTCTCTGCCTCAAATGAATGTAAGATTCATTCATATTACGGCTGCTGCTATGCAGGAGCATCTTCACAATGAGATCATTAACTATTGCTATCTCTTTGCACAATACTCGCTCTAGTATAGTCTGCTCTCGGGTTGGCTCCAGAACATGCTGTGATGAGAAACAATCATGAAAACTTTCTATGAATTCCTCATCTAGGCTACCTTTGCCACTTGACCTTTCCAGTCTATTTGTAGCTTAAAATCTCCCATGATTATTTCTGACAAGCTCTCGTTCATTCTGCTCTCTACCATGTTGTTTTTGCACTTAACTGAGCTTGTCCTTACCCTTAACAACTTCTCCTTCAACTCCTCCCACTTCCTACAGATTAAGGGAGTGGCCATGGGAACCCACATAGGCCGAAGCTATGCCTGCCTCTTCATAGGATACATGGAACAGTCCCTCTTCTGCAGCTACACGGGCACTATTCCCCACCTCTTCCTCCGCTACATTGATGACTGTATCGGCGCTGCCTCATGCTTCCACAAGGAGCTTGAACAGTTCATCAACTTTACTAACACCTTTCACCCCAACCTCAAGTTCATCTGGGCCATCTCTGATACCTCCCTCTCCTTCCTGGACCTCTTTGTCTCCATCTCTGGTGACCACCTCGAAACTGATATCTATTTCAAGTCCACCGATTCCCACAGCTACCTAGACTACACCTCCTTTCACCCACCTTCCTGCAAGAATGCGATCTCCTACGCCCAATTCCTCTGCCTCAGCCGCAGCTTCCAAGATGGGGCGTTCCACTCCCGAACATCCCAGATGTCCTCGTTTTTCAAGGACCTCAACTTTCCCCCTCCAGTGGTCAAAAATGTTCTTGACCGCATCTCTTTCATTTCCTGCACCTCTGCCCTCACACCCCATGCCCACAACAAAAACAAAGACAGAATCCCCCTTGTCCTCACGTATCACCCCACTAACATCCGGATTCAATGCATCATTCTCCGCCACTTCCACCACCTGCAATCTGACTCCACAACCAAGGATATATTTCCCTCCCCACCCCTATCTGCCTTCCTTAGGATTGCTCTCTCCGCGACTCCCTCGTCTACTCCACACTCCCCACTAGCCCCACCACCCCTGGCACCTTTCCCTGCAACAGCAGGAAGTGCTACACCTGCCCCTACACCTCCCCCCTCACTTCCATTCAAGGACCCAAAAAAAGCTTTCACATCAGACAGATGTTCAACCGTACATCCACTGCTCCCAATGTGGCCTTCTTTACATTGGTGAGACCAAGCGGAGGCTCGGAGATCGCTTTGTAGAGCACCTACGCTTTGTTTGCGACAAACGACAACACCTCCCAGTCGCGAACCACTTCAACACCCCCTCCCACTCCCTGGACGACATGTTCCTACTGGGCCTCCTCCAGTCTCACAATGACGCCACCCGGAAACCTCATATTCCACCTTGGCAGCCTACAACCCAATGGTCTCCATGTGGACTATACAAGTTTCAAAATCTCCCCCACTTCCGGCCTCATCCCATGACCAACCCTCCCTCTCATCCCCGCCTCCTTGACCTGTCCGTCTTGTCTCCCACCTGTCTGCTCCTCCTACCTCACTGACCAATCCCCACTACTGCCTACCTGCACTCACCTATCACCATCCCACCTACCTTCCCCAGCCCCACCCCTCCTCTCTCTATTTATCTCTGAGCTCCCTGCCCAACCCCCCTCCGCCACCCACCCCCCTTTCTGAAGAAGGGTCCCAATCCGAAACGTTAGCTTTCCTGCTCCTCTGATACTGCCTAGCTTGCTATGTTCCTCCAGCTCCACACTGTGTTATCTCTGACTTCAGCATCGGCAGTTCTTCCTATCTCTTTGTTACATTCTGTTCTGTTTAATATAATATGTAAGATTTAACTCCAATCCTCTTTAATTCTATCCCTCACTCTCACACAAAGACAGAAAGATGAATAGAAATAATGAAGGAATAAATTAAAAGGAAAAAATAAATAAGATGTAACGGGCCATGTCACCTAAGCAGTCTCTATGATCTGTAACATCACCAACATATGGGATCATATCTGATGACACTGATGCATGCAGATAGGTTCAGTAGACTCCAAAGAATATTTATTTAATTTTATATTCTCCATGTGGACTATACTAGCACTCTGAACTTTCAATAAGTTGATACTCAAAGAGCAACCAGAGAGCAATCAAACCCTATCCTAAAGCTTTTACTTTTGCAGACACTATCCTTCTGACCTAAACACAGTTAACATAAAACAGTTCAATCTCTGGCCTCTCCTTGCCAGACTGACCATCTTTCTGTAAGGTTCCAGTCAACATTCAGCATCTACTATTTTCTTGAGCATAAGGCTTCTCTGTCGTTAAAGCACCTGTAGGGTTTTTAACAAGAATTAAGCTGTAATTAACTTTCAGACCTAGCTTCATAAGTAAATAACAAGCTGCTGCTCAAAGTCCAAAGATCACCTTTAAGCTCTCGGCTAACAGTTCACAGATCCAAACCAAAATTGTTAAGAAGAACAAAACAAAATAATGAAAAGTCAGTGAAGGTTCTAACACAGTAATTATTGCTGTCTATTCTAGCACAGGGCTAGACACAGCAGGGTTGCACTAGCATTTCATTCTTTATTAGATACAAGTTGCTAATGTGCAATGAAAAATGAATCCACAATAATGAATTATGACTGTCATTTTATATCTCTTGTATTTTAAGTATTAATGTATTTGTTCATGTAAGTTAAAGAAATGCAAGCAGCTGAATTTTTATGATAGCATCTGTCCAACTTCAAATGCTATTGGCACGTTAGTGCAATCAAAATGTGGTACAGCATCAATAAGATTGAGATAGAATCCATATGTAGAAAGACAAAAGATTATAAAAGGTCAAACACATGAATCAAGATGGTCTACACATCACTAAATAAAGAGAGATGGAGGAATAAGTGTGCAAACAAATCCACTAACTCAGTGGAAAGGTGCAGTATTTATGGGAAATTTCAGCAGTACTAAAATTAAATCATCAGAAGAGGAATGAAAAAGGGATAAAAGAATCGAATTCCTACAATTGAGAAAGGACCTTCTTTATAACCCACCACGTAGAAATCCTATATGGGAGAATGAATCAGAGAGGTAAAAGTAGGAAACCATCTAGTCAATAGGTAAGATTTAAGATAATAATTGAATAGAACATAACCAATTCAGAGGCTAGGGTAACGGATTAGAAGAAAATTAATTTCAAGGAGCACTTAAAAGAACTTGGGGCAACTAACAACTATATTAGCAAATCCAGTTCAAAGAGGAATGGGAAACATTTGAAATGGTGTTAAACAGAATCA